GCTTTGCTGTTCTCGAGAAGATTTTTAAAGATTTTTCCTATGTATTCCTATGCAAAACTTTGATAACCCATTGTGGCCCAAACCTACCCCTGGGGATTATGATTTAAACAAATTTGATTGCACACTACTGAGGATGCTTCCATATAAATATGACAGTAACTGATCATGGCTTTGCTGTTCTTGAAAAGACCAATTTTAAAGATTTTTCCTGTATATTCCTCTGTAAAATGTTGATTCCCATTTGTGGCCCCATCCTACCCCCGGGGGTCATGATTTAAACAAACTTGATTCTACACTACTGAGGATGCTTCCATATAAATATGACTAATCATGGCTTTGCTGTTCTTAAGATGAAGATGATTTTTTAAAGACTTTTCCTATGTATTCCTATGAAAAACTTTGATCCTCCATCGTGGTCCCACTCTACCCCCGGGGGTCATGATTTGAACAAATTAAAATCTACACTACCTAAGGATGATGCCATAGAAGTTTTATATTTTCTAGCACAGTGGTTCTTAAGAAGAATATATGTAAAAGATGCCATTAATTTTCACGATTTATAATTATTTCCCCTTGGAAGAAGATGTGGCCATTTATTTAAAAAACAAAAACAAAAACAAAAAAAAAAACTTGAATTCCCTTTACCCAATAATACTTTGAGGCACGTTTGGTTAAAATTGGCTAAGTGGTTCTTGAGAAGAAGATGAAAATATGAAAAAGTTTACAAAGACAACAACAATGATGACAGACAACAGACAAATTTCGATCAGAAAAGCTCACTTGAGTCTTCGGCTCAAGTGAACTAAAAAAAAATGGTATTCTCTCTAGACGTCACATTTGCTTTTGTGGTATTATACTTCGTGAGAAGTACACATTCAGGTACATAGATGTATTCAATCTACAAGATTTATCTTTTCTGGTCCAGTTTTTCTCGAGAAGCTTTTTAAATGACAAAGGTTGCTGGACACACTTCATTCAGAAAACCTCCGTTGAGATTTTGGTGGAGATAAGCTAGCTATAGTAAGCAGGCAGACACCAGTGAGACTGACTTTGAAAAAACTTCAACAGTAAACCCTCACCTTAACCTCAGTGAGCTTATAATCATAAAGGTTCAGATGCGAAATAGTTTACCCTTCAAAAAGAGTGTTGCTATATTTTGAAAATATTGTTACACTGGAACGGAAAAAATAATATAATTGAACAAATCTGAATCCCCTTCACCCCAGGATGTTTTGTGGCAAGTTTGGTTGAAATAGGCCCAAGTGGTTAACTGTTATGGAGAAGAAGTTCAAAATGTCAAAAAGTTTACAAATGTACTCGACACTAGAGAGACAGACACACAACTACCACTCTTTGAATAGAAAAAAAGCTAATGACCTTCAACTGACCTTGTTCTTAAAATAAATCGATCAAATTAAATTTTTTCACGTATCACTTAGTAATCACTTAGTAATGTCTTCTTGAATCTGTGAAAATTTGGTTAAATTTTAAATAAAATGAATTTGAAAAAGAGTCCCTCCATAAGCCTTTGTCTAAGGTTACTCACTTAAATCTTTGTCTAAAGTTAGCTGACAAACCCATTATTATTACCGAGCTTGCATCTTTATCCTCTTTAAGATCACTTGCTGTCCTTTTCCGACTTCTGTCTGCTTGTGACGGTACATATTGTCGTTTTGTACATATTGTCGTCGGCGACAATATGTACCTACCCTCACTGCACATACTGTCGTCCAACGGTACATATTGTCGCCGGATGAAAAGTTACACATGTACATATTGTCGCTGGCGACATTATGTGCCTCACCCTCACTGTACATATTGTCGCTCCACATATATTGTTGCTTAAAGATTCCTTTTGTTGTTTTTTAGTAATTTTGTGAATGTAATTGGTGTGTGAATCACACTGACGTGTCTCGTATGTTATTTCATGCAGCGTGTTGTGACAGTACATTTTGTCGTCCTGTTCATATTGTCGCCGGCCACAATGTGTACCTACCCTCACTGCGCATACTGTCGTCCATCAGAACATGTCATAGGACAATGCATGGCAATGCTCCATGTACATATCATTAATCATTGCTTTGCTCTTTCTGAGAAAATAATTTCCATATACATGATTGTATTCATATATAATTTACTTCTGGTTATAACACGGTATTTGATTGGATAAAAAATTTACTTTATATCGTATAAATTGGGTTGCCTACGTCACAATGACTTGCGTCAAAAACGTATCGATCCGCCTTACTTTACATTTAAATTTTGTACAACCTGAAGTCATTTTTTAAGGACAATAATCTTTTTTCTTACACTAAATGAATGAAAATAAAATTATAAGGAATGAATTTAATAGCTACCCAATTTATACGGTATAAAGTGGGTTGGAACAGTTTACGCTTTTATTTAAACCGCTTCGCGGTTTATAAAGCGTAAACTGCCCCAACCCACTTTATACCGTATAAATTGGGTAGCTATTAAATCCATTCCTTAAGTAAAACTTTAATCGCCCATTGTGGCCCAATGTACCCTAGGCCCGGTTTGATTTGAAGATACTTGAATCTGTACTACCTGAAGATACTTCCATTTAAACATCACTAATCACGGGCCTACTGCTGCTTCTCAGTGGCGGATCCAGAAATTTCAGAACGGAGGGGGTGGGGGTGAGCGGCTCAGTATTGTTTTTGAAAAGCAAAAAAGAAGTCATTTGTATGTAAAGGTGTGTTACTGTATATGCTAAATAAATTATGAAATTTTAGCTATAGACTAAATTGAGAGTATAATTATTATACAATTTTTTACCAAAACCACAAAAAAATCAAACCGCCAAGAGGGGGTTGAGAAGGGGGGGGGGGCGTTGCGCCGGTGCTTCATCTGTCTTTGGTTTTTTAGAAGATTTTCTGTATATATTCCTATGTATAACTTTGATTACCCATTGTGGACTTATCCTACCCATGGGGTTATGATTTTAACAAAATTAATTTTATTTTTGTTTGTTTGTTTGTTTGTATGTATAATGTCCCTCTCGAGTATTTTTCATTCATATGGAGACGTGACCACTTGCCGGTGGAGGGCTGCAAATTTATACCTATACTTGACACACAGGGTTATTGAGGGATCTTTTCCGTGCCAGCACCTCAAAATTGAACGTACGCTATGTAATGAATCTTTCACATTACTATCTTCTGACCCAGTAGTTCTTGGAAAGAAGATTTTGAAAGATTTTTTTTTTCAAATATTCTATGAAAAACTTTTATCACCTTTTGTAGCCACACTCTTCCCCCTAGGGACATGATTTGAATTAAACTGAATCTACACTTCATAATGAACTTTTCACATAAGTTTCAATTTTTCTGACACAGTGGTTCTTGTGAAGATTTTTAAAAGATGTCACTAGATTTTCTGAACTCCTTCCCTTGAAAGAGGACATGGCCCTTCATTTGAACAAACTTGAATCCCCTTTATCCAGGATACTTTCAGACAAGTTTAGTTGAAATTGACCCAGTAGTTTTTGAGAAGAAGCTGAAATTGTGAAACGTTCACAGACGGACGGACGGTCAGACAAAATGTTATCAGAAGAGCTCACTTGAACTTCCAGTTCAGGTGATCTAAAAATTAACCCTAATACCAATTATATCGGCACATGATTGTATATATAAGAATAACGCAAAAAATAATTTTCAAATCATCATTACTACTGAACAAAAAAAACCCTAATACATTACATGTATTCAATCTCCATGTATATATTAAGAAAAAAGAATAGGCTGACTTATCATATATCTGATGAATTACGGTATCTTGACATATATGTATCATAGTGATGTACGTCAATTCTGGACAAAATTTTTTGACCAAAAAGTTTTCTTCCTACAGTATTGCTAGTAATGCTGTCTGTCTCCTCCGTGTGTGTGTGTGTTTGTCAATCTCTTTTTCCTTTCTCAAGTAAATATTCGTCAAAACAATATATCGACGACAATATATGCCGACCTTGACTGCACATATTGTCGCCGACGACAATATGTGCCGGTGCTTGACTGTACATTTTGTCGTCCATTATGCAGGAGGAAAATAAGGCTCGTCTCGGTACATATTGTCGCCGGCGACAATATGTACCGATGGACGACAATGTGTGCAGTGAGGGTAGGTACATATTGTCGCCGACGACAATATGTACAAAACGACAATATGTACCGTCACACTGCTTCATTTGTCTCAGGTACCTTAAGAGACATTGGTTATCTACAAAATTATATAACAAATTTAATGCCTAATCATTAATTAATGTCAACCTTATACACAAAGGCATTATAGTATTTTTTCACTCCAATTTGTTAAGTCATGTATTGAAATAAAACATGAAAATATATTTCCTTAGATGTTGAAGCACATGAGTTTGTTCACGTATTGTGCTTTGCATGACAAGCTTCACATTTTGTGAAAGTGCAGAAAAGGGAGAAGAGAAATCAAAAAATGGCCAGTGCAGGATTTTCTGACTGATCAATCAACCTGCAAACTTTTACATGAAAATACACAGTCCAATCCATTAGAAAACAGGCCGTTGGCCACATTCAGCTGTTCCCAGCACCTAGGGTAATATATTCTGGTGTATTGACTGATCAGACATGAAATAACTGCATACTATATGAGTAATAAATAGTGTTGATACTAAGGAGAATCATGCTTAAATTTGCACTATACAAGATTTTCAGATCAATATCATTACACTGTAAAAGAATTGTGAATCATCAGAATGGAGTCATCCTTACCTTAGCACACGTGTCTGGATAAAAATGAGACGGCTACTGATCGTTTTTATTGTAGTAAATAGTTCCCTGTCCTTCCCGTGTTTCCCACAAGACGGTGAAGACCATGTCAAGCTGCACGTCAATCGGGATCGGAATACCAATATTTGCTTACTGTATGTAATTTCGGTTTGCCGTTTATAATTTTTATTTTTATTCCATATGATATGATATCTGCGTAAACTGGACGTTAAGATCATGGCCAGTTTAAGAAAATTTTCTGCTCACCTGCTCAGAACACGAATATGTCATCCAATGTTGCTTGACCGATGTGACAGTTACAAGTATAAATCGGTTACACCTGTAAAATATCTGACAAATTCTGTACAAGGAAATCAACAGTCTTACACATTTAATATGTCAAAGGTAATTATGATTGATAAAAATATTAACTTGTTCCATTGTAAAATGTTCTAGTTGTAAGTGTATAAACTCCAGATTTATTTGATTTTAGAGTTATTTTCACAGGCATTTGTTCCGTAAACGGGGCACCCCTACTTATTTTACATGTAGTAGGGGTGCCCCGTATACGAAACAAGTGTCTGTGGTTATTTTGCAAAATTATATATAGTGTTTGTACCTTTTAATTATAGTTAGTAAATTTGATTTAACTGATTAGTGGATAACTTGATTTTTTCTCATGTAAATTAAAGGTACTAAACTTTAATTATGATACATGTATCTTTGAATTGCTACCTCTGTACATTTATGACTGAAATTCTAAAAATATTTTATTTTATTTATTCATTTCTTTATTTTTGCCTGCAACACAATGATAACAACTAAATATAATCTCTTCTTTTTGTGAACAGAATTATACAATAAGTAGACCTCTCTTATCTGATGAGGTTAAACAGGTCTGGGCGGCCTCCGTTTTTGGAGGATAGCTAAATTCAATATGGCTGCCGAAATTTTTACCATATATGGAAACCGCGTTGCATTGTGGGATAGTTTATCCTCCGATTTCAGAGGATAACACAGGTAATTTTCAAACACCTCGTGCCTACCTTTAATCAAAAAGTGCAAGCACCAGAGTACATGCAAATAAAAGTTCAAACATTAAACTATCGATTGTATGTGGCGATTTGAGATTCTAAGTCTAGATATTTTGCAATTTATTTTCAAAGTTAGCACTTTTTGCGCTCCACTATTACTGAATATTTCTTGTTATTTGTTTTATTTTTTATGATTTTTCTCTATTTAGACAAATAGAAAAGGACTTTAATGTTTCTTTTATATTTTCTTTTAATTAAAAAAAAAGGAAACAAAAAAGGAAACGCACATTTTAAACGTATTTAAAACGCAAAATATACTCTGCTTTATAATTTAAGCAAATAAAAGTATAAATGTATTGAATGAATTATTAAAAAAATAGATAAATAAATTGAATAGCATAAGTAAATAAAATAAATAATTTGACATGTTTACTAAGAAATTAACATATATTCATACAGCCATGTGTATACATAAACAAATAAAATATTACAAAGTGATGTGCTTAAGAATTATTAAATGAAAGAAATAATAAATTATTAAACTTAATTTTTCAAAAAAAATTGTTTATCAAAATTTCTAAACTGCTTATCACATAATTACGGTACTGGAAAATCAGCTGGTTCAGATAATTAACCTCAGTCACAGGCAGGTAAGTGCAATATTTGTTTTCCAAGCTGTATACCGAATAACTGATTGACGGCAATTACAAAAATATAGTTATATTAATTTAATATCTGGAATTACATGTATCCATCATCATATGAAATTGTACCTTTTATTTGTTTTATTTCGAAATCAGCGTACGGTTCATAAATGCAAGAGTTGCTGTTATTTGTTTGGTTAAGAGTTAACTGCCCTTAGTTTTGAAAATTCCGGTAGGTGGCAAGACTGCTATCCTCTGTTTTCAGAGGATAAAATCTATCCTCCAAAAACAGAGGCCGCCTAGACCTGTTAAAAAGGCCCAGGGGGCAAAGAGGATGGGGGAACCAACCATTTTCTCTAAGATTGTCGATAAGTCAATCCCAGCAGATATCATATATGAAGATGAACTGGTTTGTTTAGCTTTTTTGCCATACATGTATATTGACAGATGTAACTCGTACCAGAGACTCAACTCAGTCAAGTGAGCTTTTCTGATGAAATTCTGTCAGTCTGTCTGACTGTATAGTTTGTTAAATTTTCTTCTTGACTTTGGGTTACTGCAGAAAAAAATCAATTAGATCCATGTCCAGCAGTCCAAAATTTATCTTTGCTCAGGCTTTGCTTAAAGAGATTGCGGCAGTCACTAAAACTAAAATCTAAGGTTCATTCGTAGTTATCAACGTTATCAGTAATAGAGATTGTACTACTCCATTTTGAAATTGTATTTTAGGAATAGGTAGTTTAAAAAAAGGTCAGTTACATGAAAGTCGAATCTTTGATTGCATGATTGCAGAGATTTGTAACATTAGAAGGAAAAAAAAATAGTTCAAGACAGACAGAAACCAGAGAGTCTGTAACTATCATGGTAACTATGAATGTCCAAGATACAGTTTATCTGAAGCATGTACTTTGTAGCATAATTAGATTTATTTTATTGAATTGATAAAGATGATAATCATACTATGATTTGATTTCTCTGATTGTTTTATGTTCTGCTTATTTCTGTAATTCTATTTTTAGTGTATGGCTTTCCGAGACATTTCACCACAAGCCCCAGTGCACTTTTTAGTGATTCCAAAGTCCCCAATACTAGGAATCAGTGATGCAGTCATACAGGATAAAGAGGTCAGATAACTCATAGTTTACACTAGTGAAATTTTACAATATGTTCATCATTATGTATTATTAGCTCACCTGAGCTGAAGGCTCAAGTGAGCTTTTCTGATCAAAATTTGTCCATTGTCTGTCGTTGTTGTTGTCATCGGTGTCGGCGTCGTTGTAAACTTTTCACAATTTCATCTTCTTCTCCAGAACCACTGGGCTAATTTCAACCAAACTTGGCACAGAGTATCCTTGGGTGGAGGGAATTCAAGTTTGTTCAAATGAAGGGCCACGCCCTCTTTCAAGGGGAGATAATTACAAATTAGTGAAAAATTAATGGCATCTTTTAAAAATCTACTTCTCAGGAACCACTAGGCCAGTAAAGAAGAAACTTATGTGGAATCATCCTCAGGTAGTGTAAATTCAATTTTATTCAAACCATGACCCCCGGAGTTAGGGGGGGGGGGGGGGGCACAATTGACAAGCAAATTTTTACATAGGAATATATAGGGAAATCTTTAAAAGTTTTCTTCTCAAGAAACAGCAAAGCCATGATTGGTCATATTTATATGGTAGCATCCTCAGGTAGTGTAGACTCAGGTTTGTTCGAATCATGACCCCTGGGGGTAGGGTAGGGCCACAATGGGGGAGCAAAGTTATACATAGTAATACATAGGAATTTTAAAAAAAAAAATCTTCTCAAGAACATCAAAGACATGATTGGTCATATTTATGTGGTAGCATCCTCAGGTAGTGAAGATTCCAGTTTGTTCAAATCATGACCCCCAGGGGTAGGGTGGGGCCACAATGTAAGAAAAAAGTTGAACATAGGAATATATAAGAACAATCTTGAAAAATCATGCTCTTAAAAACCAGAAAGCTAAGATTGGTCATATTTATATGGTAGCATCCTCAGGTAGTGTAGATTCAATTTTATTCAAATCATGACCCCAGGGGGTAGGGTGGGGCCACAAAGGACGTGCAATGTTTTACATAGGATAAATACGAAAATTCTTCTCATGAACAGCAAAGTCTTGATTTGCCATTATCTATTTGGAAGCATCCTCAGGTAGTGTAGATTCCAGTTTGTTCAAATCATGACCCCCGGGGGTGGGGCCACAATGGTCTAGCAAAGCTACTTATAGGAATACATAGGATTTTTTTTAAAAAAATCTTCTTCTCAAGAACAGCAAAGCCATGATTAGTTATATGAAAGCATCCTCAGGTAGTGTAGATTCAGATTTGTTCAAATCATGACCCTCTGGGGTAGGGTGGGACCACAATGAAAGTTCAAACTTATAGGAAAAAAGCCACAGTTTAGCAAAGAAATGTATAAGCATCCTTAGCGTTAAATCAAGTTTGTTCAAATCATACCCCCTCCTTTTTAGGGGTAGTTCGGGGCGACTTATGCATTTATACTTCTCAAAACTGAACTTATTTCTGCTTATTTCCTAGCCACAGTGCTCAGGTGAGCGATGCGGCCCATGGGCCTCTTGTTTTATTATTATAAGGTAGTAGGAGGTGTACCTTATTCACCTTGTATGTTTGTCTGTCTGTATGTCAGTCTTCTCAAGGTTTGGCTCAACATGGATATCAGTTTCTGGATTATCTCACAAGTTAAATAAGCCACCTTATTGTGCTGATACATGTATGGTACATCTACTGAAATTTTACTTGTAATATAATGCAAGCTCCTTATGCTGCATCTGACCTACATTTTATAAATGCTTCAGTGACTAGTTATGAAGTTAAGAGTTAAGGCCTGTTCCTGGCTTATTACCAGACGGTGGTAATAATATTAAATTAGCACTCATGGCAGATAATTAAGGTCTTCCGTTTCCAACGGAAGACCTTCTACTGATTGTGATGATTAAGATTATTCTTATTATTCTTTTTTTTTTTCCTAGACGCCAACTTTGAAGCTTCATATCTTCCTCATTTCTGAACGGATTTTGTTCAAATTTTCAGAGCTTTTAGACTTTACAAAACACTCTCAGAATACTGTAATACAATTTGGAAATTACCTTCTGTTCACGAGTTATTCCCCTTTGATTGAAATTTTTATGCCTCTGGTTTCCAGACAAGGATCGGAAACTGTAATAATTGGAGCACAATACCATTTGAAATTGAGAAGAAGAAGCATTGAAGTTGTGCACATCGGTTTTTCTTTCTTGATTTTTGCATTAAAAATGGCGCTAGAGAGGGGTCAAAAGTTAGAACGCAGAAAAGAGCAAAAATTTTGACATATTTTCCTTTATATCTTTAAAACTAAAAATAATTTGTTAAAACATGTAGAATAAAAGTTGTGCATAATTCCAAGAGCTTTCATTTGATATCATTTAAAAGGGGCTGGCCCCTAAAATTAGGGAACTAGAGCCCTTGAAAGTTTTCGATTTATAACTCAAAAACGGTAAATATTTCGATATGGCTTTCGGAATTAAAGTTGCTCTTTAACACATTATTGATCTCATAAAAATGTTGTTTTGTTCGAGTATTGCGTAATATGTAGGTAAAAAGCAGGTCCCGTAAACAGGTAAGCGTTTTCAATCGGCAAGTAAATCAGAACTCTTCATGTGTATAACTTAAACAAACTTGCTATAAATAATATACCCTACTGTATTTAATGTTAATTTTCTTCTAAATAAGGTTTTAAACGTGTTCTGTGGTTCGTTTATAAATTATTTTTTACAACTTTCTTTTCTTTTTTAATTTAGTTTTAAAGGGAACAACGTCTTCAAATAAAGGAAGGAATTAAATGTATCTATATAACTATGTAAGTAATATTAAACTTTAAGCATCGAATAATTAATGATCATTAACTGTACGCATTTTATGTTCTCCATGTTCACCTAGATGTTTTTAGTTATGTAACACAACCCGCGATCCCACGTTGCCGAGGTCACCATCGACCAGCCACCTGTGGTCATAAGCCATGTAAACAAAACAAATATCTGTGAAGACTGTGATCACGTTTTAAATCCATCGTGTAGAAACAACGACTAATGAAACATTGTGTTTTTTTTTATTTATTATATATTGAATCTTTAAGATAACTTAATCTCATCTTTGATTTAATCTTAATTTCAAACACTAGTGCATAAAATCATTTCGAATTTTAATCGCTTTTACCGGTCTGTTCACTGTCGACACAGCAATACGATTTAAAAAAAAAAACAAAAAAAAAAAACCAAACAATTTATTTCTCTGTCCCGTGTAATTGCATCTTTGATTTAATCTTAATTTCAAACACTAGTGCATTAAATCATTTCGAATTTTAATCACTTTTACCGGCCTGTTCACTGTCGACACAGCAATACGATTTTTTTAAAAAAACAAAACAAACAATTAATTTCTCTGTCCCGTGTAATTGTATTCTATTTCAATTGTAATTGAAAAGGTGCTAAGGCAAATAATTGCAATTAGTGATGGAAGTATTAAGTATTAATACTTGTGTAAAGTATAATTTTTACTATCAGTCTCTTAATTGTTTCTTCATTTAATTTTTCATTAAATATTAAACTATATACATCAAATAATACTTTTAAACATACAATAATTCACGCCTTCTTACAGCACAGTTTACATTCTGCTCTGTCGCTTTGTAACCCAGTCTTCGTGCACACGTGGCCGCAGAGAGCCGGGGTCATATCGGTGTTAAAATACATTGTGTACTCATAGTGATTAATGGAAAATTGGGTTTGAAATCATTTCGAATCTTACATATTATTTTATTTTACTCTACCTCACACTTATTTTTATCAATCCTTACCACCCGTGCATTTATTCATTTCAAGTTTTACGCATTTTAATTGCCGACTTAACCATTAAGTTTGCAATAATTTATTTTTCTGTCTCGTGTTTTAAACTACATGTACACATGCATGATAATTGTAAGTGAAGGTGACTTTTTCAATTCTCGGCATCCTCACAATGTCAAGGTATTTCGGAACCTTAATTGACATTGTGAGGATGAATTCTCGGGAAAATCGAAAAGTTTTACGGATACATACATACATGCATGCATGCAAGTACAGAACATGCTCTTTTTATAAGCACGATCATGAATTTGAATGTACAAGTGTACATGTATATGCAAGAGCGGCCCAAATGTACGCATATCGAGTGTTTAAAATACAGAGAAATACAAAATCCCCGGTCTCTGTTTTACATTATCTTTGCAACAAAATATTGGTTAATCTGAAATCAATTTTATTGATCTATAGCTTATTTTGAAGTAAATTATTGGTCCACTGAGTTGATAATGAGTTGTTTTTATAACGGGTACATTTAGAGTATTCCGAATCACTTCTTACATTTTGACTGTAAACGATTTTATTAACAAGTTTATAAATGGTTGGTTGGTATTAAAGGAAAGCCAATTCAATGAAAAATCAAATCTACATTACACGGTGAGTCTATCTACGATACAGCGGCCCTGACAGGGGTTATATTTACATCACCTTTTTAGTGTATTGCAGGTCACTTCCGGGTATTTCGAAACACCTGGTAAATGGTGGCTAAAAACAGTCAGATAACAACATTATAATTAATGAATTAGTTGGTATTGTTTACCAAAAGTATCAAAAAATAAAAAGAATTATTTTCTTGTTGAATGTTGTTGTTTTTTTATTAAGTTATTAAAGCCCCCCCCCCCCCTTCTGTAGACACACTATAAAACAACATTCTCAGAGGCGGATCATGCAGAAAAGCAAATACCAACAGAATATTACTTTCTGAAATTACCTGATTGTAAATTGTTGTCCTGTATATATAATCATGATAATTATGTAATTTTTTTTTTTACCTATGTGATTTTTTTAATGCAAATAATTAACATTGAACTGTCATAATTCTACGAGTAGGCTACCAAATAATGATATAATGATGATAAAAAAAATTGTGAAAAGGAATTAAACCAACTCATTTTTAGATTTCATGATTATCAAGAATGACGTATATGCACTGCATACGTGTACTCGTACATATCAACATTGATGCTTTGTCAAATCATTACTTTCATACCC